AACGCGCGTGGAAATTGCTAAACTCACGAAAGCTATTGCATGAAAACAAGTCCGGTGACCCCTTCTTTTTATTGTTCCAATATGATAATAACGTCGAAAGGAATCATCAGAAAAAAAACTAGAAAATTCTACGGAAGGAAATTTGTGATGTGTGAAAATTTCCCGTTTTGTAGATTTTCTGAAATTCCGCTCCGTAGAGTTTTTTAAAAATCTTTGTGCATCTTCCTTCTCAAGTGCCAAAAGCAATCACTGAAAAAAATCAGGGGGTCACCGGGTTAGTTTTCGAATTATTTAGGCCACAAGCTAAAAAATGCGTCTGAATAAGCCTATGAAAGCGTTGCCATGGAAACTGCTAGTGACGAAATGACACTTATTTTTGGATAACCAATGATTATGTAATTTAACCTCGTAAAAGTGTTCAACTGACCTTGGTCAGTCTTTCTGTTGTATTCTTTCAAAGTTACAAACCATCAAAAAGATGAAAACCGGTACGAGCCACCTTAAAGCAACCCAACCCATTGGTGATCATTGCTTGTTTTGGGACGAAGTTGTATTCCACACTTCTACCAATTACCTCATTTCCACAGCTTACTAGGTTCTCCCGTGCATCCAAGAATTTTCCTGTCAGCTCGCGCCAAATTAACCTGTTTGGTATTCGGGCAGAATAACCGAAAAAGATGCAAATTTGATCGTAACCTCGCTTTGATCAGCCCTAAGTTAGAGAAGAATGTGCCAACATTGGCCCAGAAGGCTTCGTAAAACTCACTTTTCTGAGTTTAGAAATGCTAATTTCCAAATCAACGCGCAGCTATTTGAAGATTAAAAATGTATCTACAATTTGCACTAAAAATGAAATATATTTACTAAGTAGACAAATTATCATTTTGCTCTTGAAAGTGCAGTAAACTCGTTGATTTTTTGTTTGAAAGTCATTTTCAAGATCGATTTTTTTTAAAACCCTCACTACCCACCAAAAGTCAACGCACAGCAAATGGCAGATTAATCTCCCCTCTTAAAAAATGTCGTGTATAGTCAACAAATTACAACTATGAACCCCTGATTCACTCTAGAAACCTCCTCTCTTTCACAATGAAGAGCTTCTTTTCAATGATTCTTTTCCTTTAAAATATAAAAAATATATAATTTCAATTATTGTTTCAGATTTATTGCATGTTAGCCACAGCACGACTGATTTGCTTCTCAGACTAACCAATCCTCGGACTTTTAGATTTATGTGTTCTGCAACTCCTAAAGGTTGGATAATCCTACCCCACAAAGAATTAAAAACGGGAGGAATTTCCAGTGGATGGCGGTGATAATCTATTTACCCATTGAGGTCAAAAGCCTCGCCCAATCTCTTTCGCCCTAGGAGACAGCCATAATTTTATGTAAAATTCTTATCTTTTTTTAATTATTCCATTTTTTGTTCTGTTCAACTAAGTCTGCAGCAAGATCATTTCCTATATTCAGCCATTCTGTTTGACTGTTCAACAATCGATCGGAAAAGGACTGGGTAGGAGGATTGAAGTGTTAACTTGGGTGAAGAAATGAGAATACCCTGAGTAAAAACTAAAATCTTTTATTATTATATTTTTAGCACATCGATTAAAGCAAAGAATAAGTCTAGGAGAAAAGTTTGGAGAAAACTGAAATCTAATAAAGTCCAGTTGAAACTGTATTACTTAACTTTTACTGGTAACCGGTACACACACGAAATCAACCTGTGAATTCCCTTTAAAAATGGTTCGTGGAAGTAATTAGTAACTAGAAGTTTTCTTTACACACTAACTAATATATTTTACTACAAAATCCGAAATTAATGACTTTTATACTGCTTTTCTGACTAGTAACTTAGACCTTTATCGCTAGTTCAAAAAAGTCATTCCTCGACGATGTAATTCCGGCAAGTGGAAAAGATAGAATGATATAAATAAGTCGTGTAAAGAAGGTACTTAAAAAATTCTTTAATATCATAACGTATTTCCTTGTAAAAAAAAAAAAAGTACTAAAACCCAATATTATCATTCTCCAATAAGGAAAACCTTTTTCATCATACTTGGGATACTATATAATCCCTTATCAAAAAACTTACAAAATAACTTTAAATGAGTTTAGCAATATAATAAATGTTTGGACTTTACACATCAGATATGATGGAGAGCCTCTCTCGAAAAAAGTACTCAATGGCTTGAGCTACCATAGCTATCACTTTTGAAGATAATTTACTTTCAACTCCATAGGCTTCATTAACTAATCGATTTTCAAAGAAAATTTGGGAAATTTTGCTTATTTTGACTGCTTAACTATTCGATTTTCGGAAAATAAACTTCTTGCGGTTTGTTCTCTTTCAAATTTTCATCACTCTGCTTTAGAACTGTTCTTTTCCATGTTATATATTACACGCTCTTTTAAAGACATGTCCTGCCATGGCAATTACTGAATACCACCAGTTTTTCTCGAAGATCTCTTTCGCAAATGGAGTCCTTTTCCATTAAGGGGGGCGATTAAAAATAAAAGCTTTGCTGAGTCCCAGTACTTTGTGATGCACAGGGTTTCCTTAGCTTATGGCTCTTTAGATGTAGTAGACTTTGGCCACTTTCCAAAATCAAAACTCACGTTGTCGCCAATTAACATAAACGAGGCCCACTTAGAAACATCTTCAAAGCCGTTATTCCTCATCCACTTTCTGGCCTCGTGGAGACATTCGCTGGCACTTTTACCAAGGAATAAATGTCGGTAGAAATAGTTCATGAACTGTTCTGTGGCTGTGTCATCCAAGGCCCATCGTGCCGCCAAAACAGAGCGAGCACCGGATCCTATGAACGCTCGAGCGATTCCAATAACTCCCTCGGCTCTAATCTGTCCACGAGCACTATGACAACAGCTAAGTACCACCAGTTTAGCTCGCAGCTTGATTTTTGAAATGTCCGCCATCGTCAAAAGGTAGGCTCCTTCTCGTGTAATAAAGGGCATTGGGCGCTCAGGAGAAAGGAGAATCTCTCCCCTTTCAGCATCGCCATGGGCAGCAAGATGAATTAGACTCACTGAGTCAATCGCTTGAAGTACAGCCACCTTTGTCGCATGGCCCCCAGTCAGAGGTGTTACACCGAGAAGCCTTCCAATCATCACTGCCTCATTTCTTGCACATGGCAATGGTGCTATTGTCCTGCGTCTTGCATTGTAAATCACCTCTCCAACCTCAGGATCACCTATTATCAGTGCGCCGGTGTGACTGTGATACTCTGGGGGGCTCTCCTGAATAATCTTGAGAGTCGTTAAAGAAGGAACGATACGGATCCTGGCCATCTCTGAGAAATACTTGCCTCCTTCTTCGCGTAAGGCTGAAAATGGAACTTGGTACATACAGGAATCGGGGACAATTATGATCTCGGGCTCCTTCAGTAAATCAGCCACCGGAGAGATGATTATCTTGTGGCATAAGTGAAGATCCGTTTGGATAACTTTGGCAGCATCATCGTCTCGAATCAGCGCGCAATTTTCATGGACAAGCTGCATCGACTCTGTATCGTCAAACGATCGATCTTCGCATTTCTCTTCGGGTAAAATGCCACGGAAGCTTCCTGAGAAAAATTCATCTAAGGAAGGGACTAGTCCAGTCACCTCGCTTGGGCGAAGATTCACTTAAAGAATGGCTCTCGTTGCTTTGAGAACCCAAAACCGAACAAATTCTTCATCAATCGAAATATACAAGCATGCACAGTCTCCTTCTCTTGGAATAACATTCTGAATGCCACACCACGTTTCTCGACTGCCTGTAATCTGTTCTTTTAAAGAGTATTGAGTCGCCATCAAGTCGGCCAAGCCTCTTGCCCGTCTTAGTTCCTCGACATAAAGAGCGTCTTCGGGCTTCGCAGTGGAAGAAAGCAACCGACTGAGCATCTTGTAGGGATGGGTACCGTGCTCCTCTAAAAGTGACGTTTGAAGCTCATCGTTTTCTTTAAGGGAACCTCGTAAAGTGTCGAACTTTTCAATGCTTTGAAATAGGTACAAAAACACGGCTTTAAAATCAAATTCTGATACTTTCAACATCGTTAGCTGACAAAGGCATTTGAACTCGTTCAAAATGTCTCTAATATCTCTACTGAGTCGGAGGCCCTTCCTCAAGTATTTTTCGGCCATGTCATATTTACCAATGGAGTGGAAACATGATCCCAAGTTCATGTAACTGACTACCTCTCCTTCTCTCCTGCCAGCCTCTATCGAAATTGCAAGTGCTCTTTCGTGATATTCCTTAGACCTCTCATACAAACCACGCTGATGAGCGACTATTCCAAGATTTGTTAAATCACTCACTTCTCCTATTCGGTCAACGACTTTCATTCTAATTGCCATTGCTCTTTCAAGACATTTGTCAGCCTCCCCAAATTTACCGAGAGGCAGATAAAGTGCCGATAAGGTTCCGTAGATTGTTGCTTCTCCACCTCTGTCGCCAACAGCTTTTTTGATATCGAGTGCTTTCTTCAGATACTCTCGCGCCTTGTCGTATTGACCAAGCGATTGGAACAATGTTCCTAAGTTTCCGTAGACTGCTGCTTCTGCATCTCTGCTGCCAAGAGCTTTTTTGATAGCGAGTGCTTTCTCCAGATACTCTCGGGCCTTTTCGTATTGACCAAGCGAATGGAACAATGTTCCTAACCTTCCGTAGCTTGTTGCTTCTCCATCTCTGTTGCCAAGAGCTTTTTTGATAGCGAGTGCTTTCTCCAGATACTCTCGAGCCTTGTCGTATTGACTAAGCAATTGAAACAATTTTCCTAAGTTTGCGTAGCTTGTTGCTTCTCCATCTCTGTTGCCAAGAGCTTTATTGATAGCGAGTGCTTTCTCCATATACTCGCGGGCCTTGTCGTATTGACTAAGCAATTGAAACAATGTTCCTAAGTTTCCGTAGATTGCTGCTTCTCCATCTCTGCTGCCAAGAGCTTTTTTGATAGCGAGTGCTTTCTCCAGATACTCTTGCGCCTTTTCGTATTGACCAAGCGATTGGAACAATGTTCCTAAGTTTCCATAGCTTGTTGCTTCGCCATCTCTGTTGCCAAGAGCTTTATTGATAGCGAGTGCTTTCTCCATATACTCGCGGGCCTTGTCGTATTGACCAAGCGGATGGAACAATGTTCCTAACTCTCCGTAGCTTGATGCTTCTCCATCTCTGTTGCCAAGAGCTTTTCTGATAGCGAGTGCTTTCTCCATGTACTCTCGGGCCTTGTCGTATTGACCAAGCGATCGGAACAATGTTCCTAAGTCTCCGTAGCTTGTTGCTTCTCCATCTCTGTTGCCAACAGCTTTTTTGATAGCGACTGCCTTCTCCATATACTCTCGGGCCTTGCCGTATTGACTAAGCGATTGGAACAATCTTCCTAAGCTTGCGGCTTCTCCAACACTGTTGCCAACAGCGTTTTTGATAGCGAGTGCTTTCTCCAGATACTCTCGGGCCTTGCCGTATTGACCAAGCGATATGAACAAATTTCCTAACTCTCCGTAGATTGATGCTTCTCTATCTCTGTCGCCAACAGCTTTTTTAATAGCGAGTGCTGTCTCCAGATACTCTCGGGCCTTGTCATATTGACCAAGCACTATGAACAATGTTCCTAAGGTTTCGTAGTTTGTTGCTTCTCCATCTCTGTCGCCAACAGCTTTTTTGATAGCGAGTGCTTTTTCCAGATACTCTCGGGCCTTGTCGTATTGACCAAGCGATTGGAACAATGTTCCTAAGTTTCCGTAGCTTGTTGCTTCTCCATCTCTGTCGCCAACAGCTTTTTTGATAGCGAGTGCTTTCTCCAGATACTCTCGGGCCTTGTCGTATTGACCAAGCGAT